CGCAATTGCCTCCGCTTGCGCACACACAACCCACACAACAGACACGATTAGAACCAACTCCCGTTCCTATTGGAACCACTGGTGGAGACAAGGAGTCGTTATGCACGCTTTCATCGTCCATTCATGAGCAGCCGTATGTGACTGAAGTACTTGCTACTGCCAAGGTATTTGCTACTGCTCGTAATGGGAGTGATGTTGTCATTCGCTGCTTATTGGACCCCGGGTCACAAAAGCATTATATTACTTCTAAGTGTTGTTTAAAATTGGGTTTAACCATGCAGCCGGACGCACATACCACCGTTAAGGGTATAGGTGGCGCCACTGAACCAGTTAAGGGTGCAGTTGATCTCTCTTTCCGATCGAGATTTAATCATGAGCAATATTATAATATTCGCGCTTTAGTTTTGAATAAAATAACAGGTAACTTACCAACATGTCAAATTGATGTTGGCGCGCTCAGTTACTTAACTAATATTCCGCTCGCAGATGATACGTGGGGAACACCATCAGAAATTGACCTTTTGATTGGTGTCAACCTATTCGCGACCCTTTTGTCTGGAGGTAAAATTATAAATTCACCTGGTACTCCAAACGCGTTGGAGACTGTTCTCGGTTATCTTATTTTAGGTGAAGCTCCCACCTTAACTTCTACGTCTTCTTCATTCTCGTTCTGTTCCACCACTTCGTGCGAGGTTTCAGTATTAATTCGCAAATTTTGGGAGATTGAAGAAGTAGATCGCAAACCAATAACAAGTATAGACGATAAATACTGTGAAGATTTTTATACCACAACGACCACTCGTAACGAATCAGGTCACTACGAAGTCGCTTTACCATTTAAGTATAGTTCTAAGTCTTTAGGGAACTCTTTCGATATCGCTAAACGCAGATTTTATCATTTGGAACGTAAATTCGCATCGAAACCGCAACTGAAATACCTTTATGATGAGGTAATTCACGAATATATAGAAAAACAATATATTTCTCCCGTAGACGTAATTGAAAATAACAGCCCTAGTTATTTTATACCGCATCACGCAGTCTTACGTGAGGACAAAGTGTCCACGAAAATAAGGCCGGTACTAGACGCAAGCGCGAAGTCTAGTACTAGATTTTCGCTTAATGATATTCTACATACAGGTCCTTCCTTACAACAGGATTTATTTATTATTCTCTTGAATATGAGATTGTTCGCAGTCGCCATCTCAGCTGATGTGCGACAAATGTATTTACGAATAAAAGTTCGCCCGCAAGATCGTTGTTTTCAACGTATTGTATATAGATTTAGTCCTAATAAACCGCTCCAAGTCTTTGAATTTAATAAAGTTGCATTTGGCTTACGTTGCAGCCCGTACTTAGCGTTACGTACTGTAGCTCAGTTAGCTTCCGATGAAGGAAATAAAAACCCTATCGCACTGGTTACCATTGAAGATTCTATGGAACCTTATTTATATTCGCTCGCTCGCAAATTTTCGTCATGGATGAAATTACTTCGTGTAATTTGTTATATTTATAAGTTCGCTAACATTCTTCCACGCGGCGTCATATCCAGTTCCGATTTGGATTTCGCCGAACGTATAATTATTCGCGCTGTGCAGGGGTTTCATTTTAAAAACGATATTAGCAAGTTAAATAATAAAAAACCTTGTACCGCATCAATAATTAAATTAAATCCATTTTTATCAGACAATCTCTTACGAGTTGGCGGTCGTGGTATAACCACTCGCAAAGCATACGTTTGCTTATTCACGTGCTTAACCACTCGGGCTGTTCATATTGAGCTCGCAAGTGAATTGAGTACAGTTTGTTTTCTCGCCGCGTTAAAACGTTTTCTCGCTCGCCGCGGTCCTATTCAATGCATGTATACGGATCATGGTACTAATTTTATAGGGGCACGATCCTACCTACGTGAACTTTATTTGTTTTTATCGCAAGAATGTAGATCTGTTTGGGATAAGGAATTAGCTAACAATGGAATTAAATGGATCCTTATCCCTCCTAACGCACCGCATTTTGGAGGATGCTGGGAAAGTAATATAAAATGTGTCAAAAGCCATCTAAGTAAAGTCATTGGGCTACAAATTTTAACCTTTGAAGAACTTACGACTGTTCTTACACAAATAGAATCGCTATTAAACTCTCGCCCATTGACCGTCTTAAGTTCAGATCCGTCGGACCTGGAAGCATTGACACCTGCTCATTTTCTTAATACTATACCGCTAAAACACTTCCCAGCACATGACGTAAGTGACGCTATTCCTCATCTTTTGAAACGACACGAGCTTTTAGACCAACTCGTTCAATCATTTTGGAAGAGGTGGCATCGGGAATATTTGCATACGTTGCAATTGAGACGCAAATGGAACACGCCGGCCTTTCCTATCCAGGAAGGCACGATAGTAGTTGTTATGCAGGAGAATTTAACTCCATTACATTGGCCTCTTGGTCTTATAACACGAGTTTATAAGGGTAAGGACGGCATTATTCGCGTTGCCTCAGTCAAAACAAAGGCTGGTATTTTTCAAAGGCCAGTGGTAAAATTATGTCCATTGCCTTTGCAATAATATGTATTCTATAAGATAGGTAGTACGCATTTATAATAGGTTAATAAGTTAAGTTAAAATCCTTTGCATTTTTCTTATTTAGTAAATTCCGCATTTGATATTTTTTGTATTTTTTCTTTCTTGTTTTTTGTATTTGTCGCATTCGCAATAAGGTTCAATTGTGTAGTTCCTTTATTTTTTTTTCTTTTGTTAATTTTACTTTGACATTATGTCAAGGCGGGGGGCATGGTTACGCCAAACGCGATGCGTACCTGGTTTGTTGATGTGCATTGACACCCCTCCCGGCTAATTCAATAATCAGTGATGTCATAGCTTTCGCCGCGCGCGCACGTCGCACTCATATCGCACGCATGTCTTAATAGTTGTAATCAACCTGAGTGAATTCCTGAGATTCCCGTAACCGTGTGGGCCCACTGAAGAACAAGCACATTGAAGTAGGGTAAGTCATTCATATACGACCAGCCAGTTTCCTATACAACAATATAGTCCATCGAAGAAGGCTAGATCATAGCCACCGCCGCACCACTGGGTATAATATTTATGTATTTATGAAAAAAATATATCTACGTATATTTGTATCAGTTTTTTTTTTCTACTACGATGGTGATAATCAAGCATACGGCCCATCTGATGGTAAATGGTTACCGTAGCCTATGAACGCCTGAAACACCAGGGGTATCACTTGCGCGTTACCGACCCTTAAGAAACCTTAATATACCCTTCTTGAAAAACCCCATGCTGTAGTCTCGTGGGAAAACCTCGGCAGGAAGTTAGATCAGTTATATTACAGATAACATAATGTTAGACCCATAACATAAGGTTTAGCTAGCTTAACTTGGGTCTAGATGCCGCTGTGTGAATTGTCCAAAGATAATTATCATTCCTGAGATTATACAACCTACTATTCGCTGCTCCTATTATTCCACAATAGGAGCAGTGAGTAGCGCCCATGATCTGTTTTTAAATCACCCCGTGTGTAGCAAACTAGGGAACCAGTTTCCATAGTATGGGTCGAATTTACCTTTACTAATGTTCTGATATTGCCTCTGATTTTGTTATCGTATGTAGGCTGTTCTAGGAAAAACGTTACAGTTTAGGAAACGTTGTCGCCTCGTTATTAGCGAAATTGGAGCCGATTTTACTTCGATTTTATGTGCATTAAACGGTCGACATTATAATTATATGCGTAGTCGGGTAGTGATGGTAGGAGAGAATTTGACTCGATTGAAAATCGAATATCGAAATCAAATAATATCGCTACAGACAATGCTGTCTATACAATAATTACTCGCTAACGATTTGCCTACACACTAGGTGATTTACGAAATGATCATTGCAGTAATATTCACCCTGATTTTACGGCCGTGTGTAGACTATTTACAGCTATACCAGTAATGATTTGAGTGCTTATTATGTAAACGACATAGAATGCGTCATGTGTTTGTGATCTAATGGCCTTTGTATTAAGCCATGTGTTAATCAAGATTGTATTGCCATTATCATGAACGAGGTATGCAGGAGAGTAACACACTGTTTCATCTTGAAATGATCGCAGGTTCAATCAATCAATCAATTCAATATTGTGCTTGGACATTTAATAAAATAAAAATAAAAATTTAATCTTTACTCATGTAAGTTTATTTATTATACGTGTTATTTGGTAGTATACACACAAATTAAAAAAAAATGTAATTCTGATCAACATTTCTTTAAACGAGCAAAACTTGTTTTTATCTAATTCAACTTGTGACGAGTTTGTGTTCTGAATGAGTGGTATAATAAAAAAAATATAACTATCCAAAAATGTATTAATGGATAATTTTTATTTATGTCAGAACATAATTGGACTTTCTTTTAAAACATTTACGATTGTACATATTCATGTTTAAATTAAATTAAAAGAGAATAGAGTGACCAAATGTATAATAATATGCAATCAGTTCCCCATTAATTAAATATAACTTAATATTCTTGTGAAATACTTGTGTCCATGTTATGCATGATTAATTAACTTGAGAATCGTTAGTTGTCAGTTAACTGAGTTAACTCGATATATAACTTTGAGGAGACTGTACGAGAAATACATTTATGGGCTCGGAGGTTTATAATTATCAAATTATAGGGAAAGTAACAATTCCTAGCATAAAAATATGGAAATTAGATACGTAAAAATATCTTTTTATGCAACAGTCATCTAGACATTCTAGACTATTGAATTAAAAGTAGTAGCAATGTTTACTATTTCAATTACATAAAATAATTTAGAAAAACATTACCTAATATCTCTCTTGTGTTTTGTATTGTATATAATTAAATATATCTCATATAACTACGTTTTATAAGTTTTTGGTAACTAAATGTATTAGAGGTTAGGAAGGTAATAAAAAAAATCATGTGGAATCTATATATTAAAAGTAGTGTAAAATAAAGTGTTACCATATTAAAAAGAAGAGTGTGGTAGGCCAGGTACAAGGGATCATGTTGGAGCGGTGAATCTGTGCCTGTGATCATCCCAGTGCCGCAAATGTTTCTGAAAAAAGAAAAGAAAATAATGTTGATGTAAATTGGACTCTTTTCTTTGACAGTTATATGCGTTTTTGTTTCGTTTTCTGTAACGAATCGGTGCAGCTTCTCTACCGAATGCACATGCACTTCAGTCACAGGACTGAATGAGAGATTCCTGGCTGACTCGTGTCAGGATCTTTTACTGAACAAAAACGCATCTATTTGCCGAAATAAAATTCCTATCCAATGATATTGGATTGCTTCGTAGCGCACGCATCCGAGCTTTATTCATTGCCTGATGTTACCTTGTTCAGAGACGAAACTCGTGTCGCAATATGGGTGTAGATTCAATAACGGTCGGAGTTTGATTACCAACAGGCAATATCTAGAATATCGTAATACTTCCAGTAGCAGTGGTCAGGTTTCCGCACAAAATTTTGTCTCACACATTCTAATGGTAGCGTAATTAAATAAATTAAAATAAATCCAATTAGTTCTAATTCTAATGTCTTTGACTACTCCTCTAAATAGTAAAATAATTGAGTTAAAGATAGATTCGGCTTGTAGTGCACCTAATTCTACTATCAGTAGCATGTTTTACAGTCTGAATTCTACTAAATCGTCAGATATAGTAGTGGCACTTCAGAGTACGCAATGAAACAGCAGCTTATAAAATACGAAGAGACCAAACAAATATTGATTTTTGTGTATTAGATTTTAAAGAAATTACTATTTTCATTCTTTATTAATTTATTTTTTATTCTTGTTAATTTTTTTTTACTTGAGTCCTATTGTATAAGGTACAATAGGACTTAGGTAAAAAAAATCTATAATACAAGCATGTATTTACTCAACAAAATAGAAAAAGAAAAATTAGACAATATTAAAAAGTTCCATTAAAACCTATTCTTAATGAAATCATACACCAACCTCGTGGCCCCAAACAAGGTTTCCTCTAGGACAGTATATTCGCATTATTTAATAAAATAATCAAATTATAATTTTTTAATTATCTTTTTCCTTTTATTCTCGTTCTTGACACATTCCACTAGGACATTATGAATATTGTCAATGCGTCCACATTCCTCACAATTGGGTGACAATACTTTTTTCATGAGAACACATTTCTTTTTGTAGGACAGGGGCCAAATGAGATTGCAGCTCACCTGTTGATAAGTGTATCTCCGCCTATGAGCCGCAATACCAGAGGAATTGCAAATGCGTTGTCGACCTTTTAACTTCTTAAATAAGCTCTTTTCTTGTAGGTTTCAATATTGTAAGAAATTACTTAATACACTAATAATGGAATCCATTACTTTACCACGAGTTAAAGACTTCTGGAAATTGCGGCTATATCATCGATTTCTATCGGACTAAGTAGGTATTTATTTAACGAAACTGCCGCGTAACGGTTTTCGTGACCTTGGCGGTACTTAAATATATTACTAAAATATTTTTAGACGCAATTTCAATTTTATCTGTTCAAATAATTTAAAGGAATTACAATTTTTTTTAATAATTGACACGTTGTTTAATTTTGTCATTTAATCACTCTCAGTCGACGGCGTATAAAATAATAAATCTTTCGAAGTGGCGGGTCTAACTAGAACTTTAAATGAGCCAAACATGGAAATATTTGTGAAAAACACTTATACGTATTTTTTAACTTTCGTGTTGAATGTACACTATTTATATTGTTAAGGAGATTCCCACTGGGCTAGGTGGTCTAGTGGTATTACAACTAGCAATACTTCCAATGGTTTCGGGTTCGATCCTTCGTGTTTGTAACTTTTGTATTTACAAGTATGAATGTTTGTATTGATCTAGGTATTTTGTATGTATTTACTAAAGAAATGTGTTTAAGCATTCATATCACTTATCCATAACGTTAGTTCTGATTAGCTTGGGGCTATGGATGGATGGATGGAGCTAATTCTCCTGGGGAGGTATTATGACAATTATTTCAGAAATGTAAGACTTTATTTTTCGTTTTTATTAATTTACAAATATTTTACTTGAAATGATCGCAAGGATATTTCGTACAAAACTCAAATGTTGCAGAAATGGAAATGAACTGTTGTAAAATCTGAATAATTGGATAATGTAATCGACTCAATGGCTATTTAACGAGACTTCGATTGTATTCCGATTTGATCCTACAATTCGATAGCCCGCAGTTTTACGCTAGAAACAGTCTGAGATAAAAGTATTGGCAGACGTAGGCAGTATTGGAAAAAGTTTACCCTTTAATCCACTTGCCTTTTTTTTCTTAATTAAAAATCAATCAGATTAAATTCAAATCAAATCAAATTAACACATTATATTCTAGAGTAAGAATAATAGGAAAATTATTATAATATTTCTTAGCGTTCTAACTACAACAATTTTTGTATAATATAAAGTATCTTCTTTACATTAGTTTTAACATTACATAATGTTACAGGTGTCCTTTCTAGGTTTTTATAAAGGTTATGTGGGAAGGAATAGAATAAGAACAGAATAGAATATCATAATCAAAATCCTTTATTCAAATAAACTTAATTTAAGCACTTTTAAATAGTTTTTTTAATCTATCGCTCATTCGGAAACATACTCATCACAAGAAAAACGAACAAGAAACTTGCGTGTGTTGCTCTTTCTTTTAAATAATTTAGTTGTAACTTTACATTTTAAGTTGAATTTTATGAATACAAACTACCAACTAGCACTATTTATTAGAGTCAAAATATTAAATACAAAACAAGATTTAGTAGTAGCGATTAGAGCAGATAAGTCCCTACAATCAGTGATCGTGCACGAGTATGACGGATGAGGCAGACATCCAGATCAGATCATAGTTTAGGGAGCCCAATAACCCGGCCGACCACGTCGAAACATGCCATGACATTAGTAAGCATGATTGATGATAGAGGATAGGATATGCAACTGAATATCCTATCCTGCCCTGTTTTATATTTTAGTAGTGTGACTGACTACTCAAGACAGGATATTCAGCTACAAAATTTAATTTAAACTATTAATTCTAGATTAATACCATAAATGAGATAATTGGTGTTCAACTTCAAGTTGAGTACTAACTACCTACAGATTCAAAGTTGAGTTTCCAACGAAATTAAACTATTATACAAATCTGTACAGAATCAGGACGGAATATACCCATGGGAGGGTACTATTTCATGTATCATATTGCAGAATATCATTTGCAACTCGCGCCATGCGACGCCAGAGGCGGGTCTTTATCATTATAACTCGTTGCATCGTACTGAAAAGGCTATATAAATTACTCTTATTAACCGATACTACTTAAACTAATTATGGAAGCATGGAAGATTTCCCACCTGATGGTAAATGATAATAATAGTTAAATGGATATCACATTATCATTTCAACGACCACGGTGGTCTAATGGTTTAGCACATCCATTTACTTCCACCTTCCACGGGTTCGATTCCTCGTACGGCACAAACATTTTGTATGATCATGAGTATGATTGTTTGTGGAGTTCTGGATGTTTTCTAAGTATAATATGTATGTATTTGTACTTGGGTTTAGATGGTACTGTGTGAATTGTCTTGAAAATATATAAAAAATATTAAATATTATTACATTTATTTATTTATTATATATTTAAGCTTTTTTATTCCATAATTTTACAGTAAGCAGTTAGTAGGTATAATTGAAAGTAGATCACTTATGGACCCTGTTGAGCATAGCAAGCGGAAGAGAAGAGAGGAGGATGAGTTCATTTTTATAGGAATAGAAATTATCTTTATTAAAATAAACTCATTACAAGCACTTTTGAATAGTCATATTTTGATTTTACCACTCATTCGGAATGCAGATTCATCACAAGAAGAATGAGCAAGAAACTTGTGTGTTGCTCTTTTTAATAGATGTTTTTTTATATAAATAATTACAGTATAACAAATAGTAGAGACATGCGATAATCAACGTATAAATCTCGTTGATTACGCACGCACGCTACGCACTCATTATTAGGTTTAGGTTTTAGGTTTTAGATATTTATTCTCATTAAGAATTACAAATAATTCACTTAACATGAGAACTAAAAGCATAAACTTATACAAAATTAAATATTAGTGGAAATACAAAAGAAGGTGTACATATATAATGCGGACGGTGCAGTAACAAAGTCTACGCAGTAACTACCCGCATAAATGATAACATTTATTGGTTGCTTACCGCGCATAGATGGCCTCAGCGGTACTGGGTTCACATGTACACAGATTAATTAGTGTAATCAGATAATATTGTCAGTGCTATGGATTTTAAGTTTTTCTATAAAAACATTATTATCTATATAATTATAATATCTAATTTATGTAAATATTAATAAATTTAAACTACATCTATTTAATTCATAAAATAGTTATGTATTGACATTCTGAAGTGTTGAGATAACTTGTCTATTATCCTGTAATTTTAATCTTATTTTCTATACACATAGATGACAAATGACTTCTTGCCTGCTGAACCAGGTAGAATAAGGTATCAGTTCAGACCATTTTTTACAAATTTTACCTCGGGACTTTATTTAGTAAGTAACAAAATAAAGTCGTCTATGTGGGTATATCAATATCTCACATATATTTCTGCCACCTAAACGAGTTTGCTTCACGACTAAATGGTGATTATTCCTCTAGCTCTCCGATCTCCTCGTCCAGTTGAAACGGGGATCGATATTACAACGTTTTGAGCCGAGATTCGACGCCTAGCAGTGCTCTCAGACTAAAATTGTATCCGTCAGGAAAGAGTTGGCCTTTAGCCGCTCTATATGTCCTTCCGCGCATTTCAAGTACCATCAGCACTCACCCCCTATCATTATCGGTGAAGTTGTAAATTCCGGATACGTCCAACAGTATAGAAAAAAAACCAGTCTTAAAAAGGTTGAAAAGTCTCAAGAATCTTTTCTTACTGCTATAATAGTAATGATTATAAATGGTCCTATACTTCC